CAGGGTCAGCATGGTGTTACAGACCACAGGGTCAGCATCATGTCACAAACCACAGGATCAGCATCCTGTAACAGACCACAGAGTCAGCATCATGTAACAGACAACAGGGTCAGCATCGTGTCACAGACAACAGGGTCAGCATCGTGTCACAGACAACAGGGTCAGCATCGTGTCACAGACCACAGGGTCAGCATCGTGTCACAGACCACAGGGTCAGCATCGTGTCACAGACCACAGGATCAGCATCGTGTCACAGACCACAGGATCAGCATCGTGTCACAGACCACAGGGTCAGCATCCTGTAACAGACCACAGGGTCAGCATCATGTCACAAACCACAGAATCAGCATTGTGTCACAGACAACAGGGTCAGCATCCTGTGACCGACCAAGGGGTCAGCATTGTGTCACAGACCACAGGGTCAGCATCATCTAACAGACAACAGGGTCAGCATCGTGTCACAGACCACAGGGTCAGCATTGTGTCACAGATCACAGGGTCAGCATTTTTTAACAGACCACAGGGTCAGCATCCTGTAACAGACAACAGGGTCAGCATCATGTCACAGACCATAGGATCAGCATCGTGTCACAGACCACAGGGTCAGCATCGTGTCACAGACCACAGGGTCAGCAATGTGTCACAGACCATAGGGTCTGCATCATGTCACACACCACAGGGTCAGCATCATCTAACAGACCACAGGGTTAGCATCCTGTCACAGACCACAGGGTCAGCATCATGTCATAGACCGCAGGGTCAGCAATGTGTCACAGACCACAGGGTCAGCATCATGTCACAGACCACAGGGTCAGCATCATGTCACAGACCACAGGGTCAGCATCCTGTCACAGACCATAACATAGATATCAGCTTTGCATCAAATAATGGTGGCCTCAGTCACAGAAACAGGGGTCTACAACATAGATAATTAAGGTGTATGTCAAACCCAGGTGGGTGTCTACATCAGAGATTACAACCCGTGAAGATCCGGGTTAGAATTGGTCTTCAGTAACCCATGCTTGTCGTAAGGGGCGACTAATGGGATCGGATGGTCAGGCTCACTGACTCGGTTGACACATTTCATTGTACCCCAGTTGTGTAGATCGATGCTCATGCTGTTGATCACTGGATTGTCTGGTCCAGACCTCAGTCATATAGCTGGAATATTGCTGAGTGTGACGTAAAACTCACTCACTCACTCAGAGATAACAAGGATCTGTGTCACAGTTAACAAGGGTCGGTGTTACAGATAAGGGTCCATGTCACAGGTAAGGTCCATGTCACAGTTAACAAGGGTCTGTGTCACAGTTAACAATACTCTCTGTCACAGATAAGGGTCTGAATAAGGACTGAACTAGCACCAGAGCTAATGTGATCTTTGAGAATCTTTTCTACTTTTAACTATCTACCATATCTATGTGATTCAACAATGCAAAGAGTTCAATCTAAGAATCAACATCACAATATTGCCAGTAATCTGCCATACATCTGGAAACTTCAGGAATGAAGAATTGTCAATATCAATTTGAGAAGTTAGTGAACAATACAATAGTCTCCATTAATGGGGCATTAATTGGCAGATAACTGGCTTTGATCTCAGTCCTGCATTCTTAAAGCAGATGCTACAGCCCTATGACCTGAGACTGATGTGGCACTGGTCCTCCAGTTGCAGCACCACATCATCACAGCTTGTTTCTGTCATCAGTGTAAGGAACTGGTCAAATGTGGACAAAAAGCTTAGATATTTCAGACAGCGATACACATACCTTACACTCCCATCATCATATAAATGGGGACGTCCTCAAAGGTTTTCAGAATGGATAACATAAACATAGCAGACATATCAAGCAGAAATTTGATCAAAACATCGTGCAACTCATGGACCATACATAACCATCACTGTAACAAAGAATTCTCAGCTAGCAGGATTTTTATTAATTTCCACTTATTAAAAGTAGATAAATGCTGTCCATATCACAGATACAATATGAATAAAGTTGTCATTCATTGACTTGAACTGTAAAAATACTGAAAAGCTTGGATGGAAAACTTGAATACATGTTATCAATCCCCTCCAATCCCATGTTGGTATAAGGACTTCCTTCCCATCTTGTAGCCAGGAAATCCTGTACATAGATATCTTCAGATTCCATTAACACAACCCCATTCTGCACTTTGGGACAAGAAAAATTGTAATGTTATTTTAGAAATAGAGCTGCTGGGCCTAAGGTATTCAGCCAAACGACACAGAAATATAACACACTGGAAAAGAGACATCTCCCATTCTCTGTACAAGAATGGGACTACGACACTGACAAGGGATGGCTTTATATCACAGCAGCACACTTTACTCGTTTCAGTGTCAATATCTTCAAGAAATATACAGCAGCATAAACAAGCAAACAATCATTTTGTGCAAAGTTTGCAATCAACTGATGCAGAAGTCCTCAGATAAACATCACAAAATGGGCTGAACAGACGCACTTTGATTCAATCATGAGTAATCAAACGTATTTACACTGATGAAGCTTCAAAGGAAATCGAATGCTTTGGCAAGAGCCACAGATGTGGTCCCATGTAGTGTAGAATCATAGAAAATACTAGTGATGAGATCAAAATGAACAAATTGAATAAATACCTGTCAGTAAATGTTTGTGTAAGAAAAAGTTGCACAATAGATTTCTTAAAGCTATTTCTTTCACTGATAAGTGATATGTAAAGTTTTCAGGTAGTTCTTCATTTCACCTGGGACTCAACAAAGCTCTTCAACCAACATTGTCCATCAACAGCCATGCTGTCCATCAACAGCCAATGCTGTCCATCAACAGCCAATGCTGTCCATCAACAGCCAACATTGTCCATCAACAGCCAACCTTGTCCATCAACAGCCAATGCTGTCCATCAACAGCAAGCATTGTCCATCAACAGCCTACATTGTCCATCAACAGCCTACATTGTCCATCAACAGCCTACATTGTCCATCAACAGCCAATGCTGTCCATCAACAGCCAACACTGCCCATCAACAGTCAACATTGTCCATCAACAGCCAATGCTGTCCATCAACCACCAATGCTGCCCATCAACAGCCAACACTGCCCATCAACAGCCAATGCTGTCCATCAACAGCCAATGCTGTCCATCAACAGCCAATGCTGTCCATCAACAGCCAACATTGTCCATCAACAGCCAACATTGTCCATCAACAGCCTACATTGTCCATCAACAGCCAACACTGCCCATCAACAGCCAATGCTGTCCATCAACAGCCAATGCTGTCCATCAACAGCCAATGCTGTCCATCAACAGCCAACATTGTCCATCAACAGCCAATGCTGTCCATCAACAGCCAATGCTGTCCATCAACAGCCAATGCTGTCCATCAACAGCCAACATTGTCCATCAACAGCCTACATTGTCCATCAACAGCCAACACTGTCCATCAACAGCCAACATTGTCCATCAACAGCCAACACTGCCTATCAACAGCCAACATTGTCCATCAACAGCCAACACTGCCCATCAACAGCCAATGCTGTCCATCAACAGCCAATGCTGTCCATCAACAGCCAATGCTGTCCATCAACAGCCAACATTGTCCATCAACAGTCAACATTGTCCATCAACAGCCAATGCTGTCCATCAACAGCCAATGCTGTCCATCAACAGCCAACATTGTCCATCAACAGCCAACATTGTCCATCAACAGCCTACATTGTCCATCAACAGCCAACACTGCCCATCAACAGCCAACACTGCCCATCAACAGTCAACATTGTCCATCAACAGCCAACATTGTCCATCAACTGCCCATCAACAGTCAACATTGTCCATCAACAGCCAATGCTGTCCATCAACCACCAATGCTGTCCATCAACAGTCAACATTGTCCATCAACAGCCAATGCTGTCCATCAACAGCCAACATTGTTCATCAACAGCCAATGCTGTCCATCAACAGCCAATGCTGTCCATCAACAGCCAATGCTGTCCATCAACAGCCAATGCTGTCCATCAACAGCCAACATTGTCCATCAACAGCCAATGCTGTCCATCAACAGCCAACATTGTCCATCAACAGCCAATGCTGTCCATCAACAGCCAACATTGTCCATCAACAGCCAATGCTGTCCATCAACAGCCAACATTGTCCATCAACAGCCAATGCTGTCCATCAACAGCCAACATTGTCCATCAACAGCCAACATTTTCCATCAACAGCAATCAACAGCCAACCATGTCCATCAACAGCCAACATTGTCCATCAACAGCCAACACTGCCCATTAACAGTCAACATTGTCCATCAACAGCCAACATTGTCCATCAACAGCCAATGATGTCCATCAACAGCCAACATTGTCCATCAACAGCCAACATTGTCCATCAACAGCCAATGATGTCCATCAACAGCCAACATTGTCCATCAACAGCCAACATTGTCCATCAACAGCCAACACTGCCCATCAACAGGCAACATTGTCCATCAACAGCCAATGCTGTCCATCAACAGTCAACATTGTCCATCAACAGCCAACACTGCCCATCAACAGTCAACATTGTCCATCAACAGCCAACACTGCCCATCAACAGCCAACACTGCCCATCAACAGCCAATGCTGTCCATCAACAGCCAACACTGCCCATCAACAGTCAACATTGTCCATCAACAGCCAACACTGCCCATTAACAGTCAACATTGTCCATCAACAGCCAACACTGCTCATTAACAGTCAACATTGTCCATCAACAGCCAACATTGTCCATCAACAGTCAACATTGTCCATCAACAGCCTACATTGTCCATCAACAGCCAACATTGTCCATCAACAGCCTACATTGTCCATCAACAGCCTACATTGTCCATCAACAGCCTACATTGTCCATCAACAGCCAACATTGTCCATCAACCACCAATGCTGTCCACCAACCACCAACAGCCCACACCAGACAGAAACATGTCTCCACTATAGTATCTACTATTTATCTAACAACTGAACCTTCCTTACCCATGTTTTATTGGAGTTCTATCTGCGCTTACATACTCACATAATGTCTTAGGATGGAGAAAAAAAGGATGGTTTTGTGAAAACTTTAATGTTTGTCTTAAAGCAAACATAGACTGATTTCATCGCTGTTCATATTTTGTCTGGCAGCCTGAGAACGTCCATCTCTCTGTTCATGAAACTACTAATGGAGGTCAGCATATACTTGCTGATCTCCGAGAATGAATACCCTGCTTGTTCATCAGCACCACAGTAGACGCAGTATCAAGCTCTGCCCTATTCACTTCCTGTCAGCGTTCCACATGGCACTGAGGTTATTCACAATGTGAAGAACATTAAAACATGAAATCATCAAGCATCATGGCCTTTGTCTTAAACAAGAAGTCAATTTCTCCTAACAAAATATAGTTCTTAATGGTGTCTGGAAGCTGCATCTGATCCAGGGCATCAGGTACAAAACAAGTGAAACTTCGTCTGACTGTGACCCGACAGTGATGCCTCAGGGACAGGGGACTGCTCTCGTATCTCCAGCACCACCTAGCTGTCTCGGGACAGATCTTCTTGATGACACTCACATCCGCCTTTGTGTAATGCCACCCCGCCCCACTCACATAAAGGATCAGTTTTTTGAAATACGGATGCCTTGGTCTCTCTGCAGGCCCAGTGAGATTCTTTGTAGTATTCAAACGAATTGAAAACAACACACAGATTTTCACCATTGACAATCTTCAAGAGTTTGACAGTGAAGTCTGCCGAGTGTTGCAGGAAGGGGTCTATGATCCCAGCACACATGGGCTGATGCCTGTGCAGCTTCTGAAGCAGCAGCTCGTGGAACTGTAGGGATGTTGCATGAGCTATGCACGTGTCGATAATACGGAAGATAAAGTCATTGTCCTCAATTTTGAGTGCTGTGCGAATCACATACATCATGGCATCCTTGCGCACTGGTTCTGCATGATTCTCCAACAGAACCGACACAATCTGCCAACATATCTCATGGCGAGGTTCTAGCCGGTTGTCAAAAGTTGTCACCAGTGCTAGATCCAGCGGAGAACAGTTGCTAATGTTTACATAATTTTTTATCACAGTGTTTCTGTTTGAGCAAGATCTGGACCATATCAATATGACTGAGTTTGACTGCAAGGATCAGAGCAGTTTCCTGGCGGTCGTTAAGAGGTAGGTTGACATTGATGTGTTTGAGCAAGCCGTCCAGTTCACTGGAACTATTGTTGATGATAGCATTCTCCAGAGCTCTAGACTTGGCCAAAGTGGGAGACAGTTTTCTTTCTGTGTCACTTTCATAATCCATATTAGTGGCACCAAGAATCATATACTGTTGCCACCAGGGTCATGTTTGGGGATAGCACTGAAAAGACAAAACAAACAGAACATGAATTACTTGATCAAATGATCAAGCTACATTTTGTAAAATGGTTGGGAGTTGGTGCTGCAATCTGATTTTATGACTATCCATTGTCTATGGCTTATCTATGGGGTCGGCTTATCTCCGGTAATATACGGTAGGATATGAATGATGTTGTTCATCAAGATAATTCACCCAACAAGTATGGAACAAAATGTGGAACCAAAATGACATGTTGGGCTTTAAATATTACTAATACAATACAAACAGTTCTGCATACATTACTTTCTGAACCAAACATCACTATTATGACTTCAAAGTTCTGCATACACTACTTTCTAAACCACAAATCACCATTATGACATCACAGCCCTGCATACACTATTTTCTTAACAACACTTTACCCGTGAAGATCTGGGTTAGAATTGGTCTTCAGCAACCCATGCTTGTGGTAAGAGGCGACTAACGGGATCAGGCTCGCTGACTTGGTTGACACATGTCATCGATGCTCATGCTGTTGATCAGTGGATTGTCTTGTGCCATCTTGCTAAAGTAAAGGGGGCTGTGTGGTATGAAGCCCACACTTGGAGCTTGGAATAAAAAATGTAACTAATGACGTTACCATATACCATCAGTCCTATTTTCAAGTACCTTTGATTTTCCATGACTATTGATTACTTTGATGTTTAGTTAAGTTACTGCTAGATCAGACCATATCAGTACATGGGAAGTAATGTAATTTGAGTTTTTACTTTTTATACTGGTTTTGTGAGGTAAAACAGTTTTTAATGTGATGTTAAAGATAAGTGCACTCCTACGGCAATGTGCACGCCAGTGTGACAGTGTATACCAGTCTGTACTAATGTGTCTACATCAATAGCCCACTGAGATGCCAGGTTGCAGTCTAACATGGATACCAGACACAGATCCCTGACTCCCACCTGACCAGTTTAACATGGATACCAGACACAGATCCCTGACTCCCACCTGACCAGTCTAACATGGATACCAGACACAGATCCCTGACTCCCACCTGACCAGTTTAACATGGATACCAGACACAGATCCCTGACTCCCACCTGACCAGTCTAACATGGATACCAGACACAGATCCCTGACTCCCACCTGACCAGTCTAACATGGATACCAGACACAGATCCCTGACTCCCACCTGACCAGTTTAACATGGATACCAGACACAGATCCCTGACTCCCAACCTGACATGGATAGACACAGATCCCTTACTCCCATGGATGACCAGTTTAACATGGATACCAGACACAGATCCCTGACTCCCACCTGACCAGTTTAACATGGATACCAGACACAGATCCCTGACTCCCACCTGACCAGTTTAACATGGATACCAGACACAGATCCCTGACTCCCACCTGACCAGTTTAACATGGATACCAGACACAGACTCCCACCTGACTCCCATGGATACCAGACACAGATCCTGACCAGTTTTAACATGGATACCAGACACAGATCCCTGACTCCCACCTGACCAGTTTAACATGGATACCAGACACAGATCCCTGACTCCCACCTGACCAGTTTAACATGGATACCAGACACAGATCCCTGACTCCCACCTGACCAGTTTAACATGGATACCAGACACAGATCCCTGACTCCCACCTGACCAGTTTAACATGGATACCAGACACAGATCCCTGACTCCCACCTGACCAGTTTAACATGGATACCAGACACAGATCCCTGACTCCCACCCTGACCAGTTTAACATGGATACCAGACACAGATCCCTGACTCCCACCTGACCAGTTTAACATGGATACCAGACACAGATCCCTGACTCCCACCTGACCAGTCTAACATGGATACCAGACACAGATCCCTGACTCCCACCTGACCAGTTTAACATGGATACCAGACACAGATCCCTGACTCCCACCTGACCAGTTTAACATGGATACCAGACACAGATCCCTGACTCCCAGCTGACCAGTTTAACATGGATACCAGACACAGATCCCTGACTCCCACCTGACCAGTTTAACATGGATACCAGACACAGATCCCTGACTCCCACCTGACCAGTTTAACATGGATACCAGACACAGATCCCTGACTCCCACCTGACCAGTTTAACATGGATACCAGACACAGATCCCTTGACTCCCAGCTGAGATCCCTGACTCCCACCTGACCAGTTTAACATGGATACCAGACACAGATCCCTGACTCCCACCTGACCAGTTTAACATGGATACCAGACACAGATCCCCCTGACTCCCACCTGACCAGTTTAACATGGATACCAGACACAGATCCCTGACTCCCACACATGGATACTGACCACCAGTTTAACATGGATACCAGACACAGATCCCTGACTCCCCAGCTGACCAGTTTAACATGGATACACAGAGACACAGATCCCTGACTCCCACCTGACCAGTTTAACATGGATACCAGACACAGATCCCTGACTCCCACCTGACCAGTTTAACATGGATACCAGACACAGATCCCCTGACTCCCACTGACCAGTTTAACATGGATACTGACCAGTTTTAACATGGATACCAGACACAGATCCCTGACTCCCACCTGACCAGTTTAACATGGATACCAGACACAGATCCCTGACTCCCACCTGACCAGTTTAACATGGATACCAGACACCAGTTCATGGATACCAGACACAGTTTAACATGGATACCAGACACAGATCCAGACACAGATGACTCCCACCTGACCAGTTTAACATGGATACCAGACACAGATCCCTGACTCCCACCTGACCAGTTTAACATGGATACCAGACACAGATCCCTGACTCCCACCTGACCAGTTTAACATGGATACCAGACACAGATCCCTGGACAGACACAGATCCCTGACTCCCACCTGACCAGTTTAACATGGATACCAGACACAGATCCCTGACTCCCACCTGACCAGTTTAACATGGATACCAGACACAGATCCCTGACTCCCACCTGACCAGTTTAACATGGATACCAGACACAGATCCCTGACTCCCACCTGACCAGTTTAACATGGATACCCGACACAGATCCCTGACTCCCACCTGACCAGTTTAACATGGATACCAGACACAGATCCCTGACTCCCACCTGACCAGTTTAACATGGATACCAGACACAGATCCCTGACTCCCAGCCCACCAGTCCAGGTTGTATCCACAAATGCTAAGAGTGTCAGGTCAGGTGACATGTCTTCTATCATCATCTGTTGCTACTTTCTGCTCCCCAGGAAGATGCTCCACTCGCTAGATGAATGAGGGGATCACTTTTTCAGTGTATTATTTCATTTGCTGTCAGAAATTCACATGTGTTATATGCTGCTGGAATCTCCAACAATTCTACAGATTACGGCTCGGACAACGACAAGTCAACATTGACTCTCTGAGTGCCAGACACCCAAATACCAGACTGTATCTTCACATGTAACGGTTCGGTGGAATGTCAGGGGTGGAAATAACTTTAAAATTGCTAGTGTACTCCGGTACAGTGGCACATGTAAAATCACTTGCCCTGATAATTTTTTCACTATACCGGCCGTTTTCTTGTTGATTTTTTAAATAAACAACATAATGAATATTGGAAAGTCAACTGGACACCGGTACAGTGTGATATACAAATTTGCTTGCCCGACAGATAAAAACACTGGACTTGAGCATGGGGCAATGGGTTATTTCCACCCCTGAATGTGTGCATAGAAAGTAATGCAAATGCAGTAGCCATAAAATTTCTGAGTCCTGTGCTGCGATTCAAACCACGGACCTACCGTATATATAAGCAATGTATATGTATATATAAGCAAGTGTATTTTAATTTGTATTTTAATCACCAAGTCTAGCCCTAGCTTAACCACTCAATCTAACCTGCTTCACTTTCACAATAGCACTGTCACCCTTGCGCTTACGTTGTCTATTGTCTCTATTGTCTTGCCCCAGCCCCAGGCCCCTTAGTTTCAATAGCAGGGTGTTTTGTGGGTCAGCTATCATTTTCACTTCAGTCTGTCTGGTCACTGGTCATAGCTCACAACAGCTTATAACAGGTTAGTTTATATTTGGATTGTATATTTTATGTCTTCATGTTTAGTGTGTATGTATTATTTCTTAGCTTCCTTTAAAGAATGTATCATGTTATGTGTGGTAAATATAAACCAAATCAACTATTTGTAATATGTAGCATAACTAGGTCTTAGCAATACTTTACATATGTAAGTTTATTGTAGGTAATCCTAAATAACATTTCCCACGAGGATGTGACCTGACTTATAAATTATTGTGTAGGTAAACATAATGTGTACATCTACTTCTATAAACTAATGCACCTATCTTTGCATGTATGAATGAATGTATGTATGATGAGATGAGTTATTGGAACAGATGTTTTATGTACAGTAGAGTGATAATGTACAGATGTAGAACGTTACATAGTATTGATTATGGATATGTTTATGTTCAGGTGTGGCAAACATATTTCCGGATGTTTGTGACGTCAAAGGGGCACAGTGCCATACACTCGGTGAGGGTTAATTCGTTCTTATTATATTGTAAATAATTATGTTAAGTACTTGTATGATGCTACACGTGTATGTTGAAATATAAACATTATATACATTTCTAAGATGCCTAGCTGTTAGAACAATTGAAAAAAAATATATAATGAGACAATAAAGGTATAGTTTTTTGATGACGTAACAATTGAATGACGTTATCCCGTCACTGCGCCATTCTAGTGTGCCCCCTCGTAATCAAATTATTTTACATTACGTCACAATGTAAGTGACGTCACGATGCATGTCAGTTGTCATCGCCTCGTACGGCCTCCTACAGTAAACTACTCCGTTGCATCCCGTTTCTTGCTTTGCAGTTGCTTCACGCAGCTAACATCACTGGTGGAAACATTACGTTTATGTTTTCCGATGGTTAAAATGTCTCAATTCGACTCACAAGTTTTCAGCGACACGGTAGCGTTAGCGAATGTTTATTCCCACAATGCAATGGTGGAATGTCGCTGACTACTCCGCTTCATCTGGATGTACTGATCTAAACTTACGTTGGTAGAAGAAATCGACGTTGATATTGCCCCATATGGTTTACGTTAATGACAGATGTAATTAAAATAATTCAGAGAAGATATTTAATCCGAGCGTAAACCGTCATCAAACTGTTATCATTTGTTTTTTCTGGTAAGGTTTGTCTTAGCGTTAGGGGCAGACACATCAATAGAACAGCGCACCAGTTAGCCCTGTGCGAGGATTCTTAATTTAGGACACCGACACCGTCATTTTGTTTTCTGCCTTAAATTAATCGTAATTATCCTTAGAAAGTATTAAATTTAGCATCTTAGAAAGATGTAAAGTTAAACTCTACCCAATGTGTTTTGTAATAAAGTATAGTTTTGCCCTGAACTATTATAACATCAAAGCACTCGGACTACCGTCCTCGTGCTTTAATTATAATATTTCAGGGCAAAACTATACTGTTTATTAAAAACACATTGGGGTAGAGCGAACTTTATTTCTTAAATATACACACGTCTGCTCTGTGACCTGGTTGATCAATAATGATTGTATTGCTTATATATGATCGTAGTACTTACTGCTAATCAAGAATGATTGTATTACTTATATATGATCGTAGTACTTACTGCTAAGCCTCACATGTATTGGCCCATGAAGTATTGTAGCGTATTTTGATGCAATGTATTTATTATTTACAGGGCTTTCTTCAGTTATTATTGCCATTAAACTGACATCTACAGAAACTACTTGTCTTTGTGGTATATACAAAACCACGCCGGTTACATCCACATGACCAAAGATGATAACCCTGTCAGCAAGACAAGGCAAGGATGTAATCTGTGGGATGACTCAACACCCTGCTACACAAACGTGAGTGACTTGTTGTGTAACCATGAAACCTTATGCTTGTCATTCTACAATGTATTGTAAACCAAAAGTCACTGTGTTCTTTAATCTGATTGGTTGAAAAACGTGATCAAATGGTATTTGATTCCCGGAAATTCTCTGCGTATTAATACATACAAACATCGCTCACACCATTGTATTGTTGATGACGTCATTAAAATCATATTATGACGTAAAGTCCGAATGACGTCACAAATGAGCAGTTCCAGATGCTACCATGGGAGACAGCCGAAACGTCCGGCTGATGACATTTCACTGCTGTACCCGTACTCGATGTCAATGAGTGCAGACACAAAAACGTGTGTGGACCTTTTGGTTTACTTTTGTGTTTACAATGTCGATAAACATCATGTGTTGGCGAATTTCCGCCGTCGGTTCCAAATAAATTCCCGTGCTTCAAATACTCAATAACACCCGGAAATTCGCCAACACATGTTGTTTATCTCCTAATTTAACGTGACTCGCCACAGATCCGATAGCCCTGTGGTACCGGGTTCCAACACGGGATCAACCCCAACCCACTTACCTGTCCCAACCATAATACCTGCACAAATATACAGCTAATATTCCATTATATACCTGTCCCAACCATAATACCTGCACAAATATACAGCTAATATTCCATTATATTCGTTATGAAATTAGTTCAGGATGATCAGCCACTGGTATTGCTTTGTGAATAAACAAAAACGCACTTGAAACGAGAAAATATGTTTTCAACAAAAATGTTATCAAAATAAAATAAATAGCGATTACTCCGAAGTTCTAGTTTAACGTATCCTTAGAATACAGGTACAGCGATACATCTCTAGTACAGATATGTATGTACATTGAGATAGTGTTAGCTAGGAACAGTGTACACTGAGCAGTAAATATAACTGGACTTGAGAGCTGTCATGTGTGAGCGTAAACAAACACGCTCGACAAGTGTGGTGACATGTGATGTGCACAAACGCTTCCATTTTGCACAGTGATAATTCAAAGGAATATTTACACATTAGTCCATCGGAGCAGCCGTAGTGTCACCCGTCTGACATATCAGCTGACACACTGCCTCAACACATGGAGGCAGCTGAACTGCAGGTAACAAACTGTAAACAAGTTTCACTTCCGGTGAAAACTCGGGTATCTTCGCTACATTCCGTGTGAAATCGGATCTCAAGTGGCCGATCGCAGTCTTTCGTGAGCCTAGTCTGTGAAGTCAAGGTTACATTTCTCTCTTTTAAACCAACTTACTGATTATAGGGTGGTTGGTTTGTGTTTAACAGTTTAGACTGGTGTTGATGAAAACTAAAAAGGACACCCAACATTAATGGTGCAGAACTGTTATCAAGCAGTGAAGCGTTAGAATCAACACCGAAACATCGCTCCCCATTATAAATAAATAAGTTGTTCATTCATATATATCTCATTCTCACTTCAGATTTCTGGATACAACTAACAATGACCCAATATACTGAACACCAAAATCTTTAACATGGATTACAATTGTTGAATCGTCACTAACAGATGTTATCTACTTCTCGAGCTCATTAATAGACCCTTAGCAATCTCCAGCTAGCTAGCAAAATAAAAGGAGATAGGTCTACCTGAGGTAAAGCAAGATGTATTTGGTACCGCTGGAACGCTTGGAATCTTTAGTTTTCCAAAACCAATGTTGCCAGAATTGAAAGTGTCAGGCAATATGTCATTTTGGGTCGTTTCCATGGTACCCATGGTTTGTTACAATATATCATGTCGTTATGGTATATTCACACATAGAATGTCATTGAAAGTCCCGTTTGCCACGGTGACGCGCTCCCCCCCCCCCCAACATAATTTTGCATGACGCCTCTATTTTGCAACATTTGGTTTAATAAAATGGTGACTCTGAGCTCCGAACGTGTGGTGAAATAGACAAATGAAATTAAATAAACAGTTAAATCGGTAATCTACTGTCATAACATATAAAAAGTTCGCGCCTGTGAAATATCAACAAAACTTTAGAAAAATAGCTCACACCAAAGCCTTCACCGAGTATTTTACCAGACAACCCGCTTCCAAGCTGCGCGAAACCTATTTCACTACACATGTGCTATGAGCGCAGCCCAGCTGTTGAAACCACTTTTCCCCCAAGCGCGGGGGAAATATTAGTGAATCGTTTGAACTCCGATTTCGCGCGGTCTTTTTCATCGCGTTATTTTTCAGCTTTATAGGTTGGATTGCATTTTTGATGATTTGTTTCGGTAAGTCCATACCGAAAGGTATCAGAATCTGCAAAGTTGTGTTTTACGTTGCATGTGACCTTTAAAGAACGAATAAACTTTGGTTTTTTTTGTACACTTTTAACCATTACATATGAAAGACTTGTGGTTAGTCTTCAGCGGAACACCAAATTCATTCTTAAAAAGCTTTTGGTTAATTAATACCGAGCGCCTAAAAGTTGCCAAAAAGATGTCTGGTTCTCTCTCGCCCGCCAACGAAACCACAGAGGTTATGTAACTCTGTCGCCAGGGCACTACAGCGAACCGGAACTGACGTTATGTGAGGAAGGATTTTTCAGTCAGTTTTATATAAAGTGTGTAATAAGCTCGTCATTATGCTGATTTCTCGACGTTTTCATTGAGTAAAAAAAATGAAAACTACTTACCAGTTGTAGCAATATATGTATATGATTGATGGCCAAAAGGATTTTGCATGACACAGCTTGTAATATAACGATTTCTTCCTCGCTTCTTTGTGGTCGGAGTGGCAGTAATATGATTGTCAGTAGTATTATATTGACACCCACCTCGCTTCTAAGAGAGAAACTGTTATGTAACCACAAGGAAAGAAGCAGTCAACAAAATTCAAATTTTCCAAGGCAAATAAAAATCACAATAAATAGCATAATATTGTTTTATCACAGGAAGCGTGTTGCGATTGGAACTTGTTTCGCTGCACCAGAATTTGATGAATTGTAGAACTGCCCACGCGGGAGTTTTTTGTTTAAAATACTTCATGCAATATATTGCAATGCATATCGCAATACATGCTTTCGCATCGCAATATATCGCAATATGAAAATTCTCTGCAATACCCACCCCTACTGGTGACTTATGAATCACATTTGGGGGTGATGTCTGACTGCGATTCTGATTCTGAAATGAAGATTTGCTTGGGTTACTACAAAAAACTTTACATTGCCAAAAAAGGGAACAAACTATTTTAAACAAACGAAGCCTTTTCTGCCGACTGGAAAAATTATAACAAAATGCCATTTAGATGCACCAATGACAGTAAACTACAATGGTTCCAATAGAGAATATTACATCACATCTTACCGACAAATATACTGGCCACATAAAGAAACTGTGCACACAGGAAATATATAGATAGGCAGACAGCGTCTTTATGCATAAATAAAGGTGTGAACATAGGAAGTATTGGAGACAATCAAACGCTCATGCAGGTGCCAGGCGACGTGACGTCATTGATGGTGGCCTGTGGACTTGCAATGTGTTACTGCACGTGCAGCCTGTGCAGCTGCACACAACATGTGAAACTCATAAATTGATGTCACTGTCGAAAGCTTGATCTTTGGTCATTCAAACGTTCACAAATTCACATGATAGGTCACATGCACATCATGCCAAGATTAACATGTGCTCAACGTCATGAAGCCATTGGAATGGTTCGAGCAGGCATGAGCCAACAACAGGTGGCAGCACATTTCCAATGCCATCGTAACACGATATCTGCATTGGTCAGGCGTTATGGAAACAGTAATGACGTCGCCGACCACCCACGTTTTGGGCGTCCCCGAGTAACGACGCCAAGACAGGACAGATGGATTCGGGTGACTCATCTCAGACGCAGGTTCCAGACGGCAGTGACCACGTCCCAAACCATTCCGTAGGCCTTCATTTGGAAAATTTGGTAGCCTCTATGCGTCGTCGATGCACTGCTGTGCTTCCCGCGCATGATGGTCATACCCGTTATTGACTTTGTGACTTCGACGTGTGACCCCCGACTCAATTTTGAACTTCTGACGTCATCGTTACGGATATTGTTCATGTTCTTTTGACATGTTGTTGTGGCCCGATACTTCAGCTTATAAAGTTTCTACATTATGTCGTCTTTTCTGTGTTGTATTCCAATCCTGAAGGAATTTTCTGTGTGCACAGTTTCTTTATGTGGCTAGTATAAAGTTATTTAAGATTGGGTATATAAATAATTCAAATTGCAGCTTCTCCCAAGACGACAATGAGACACTTCATCACATTTTCTGGTCTTGCATATCTGGCAAAAACTTGACTTTTGGCTAAATCGTAAAGCTCTTATCAATATCAAAATATAAAAAAAAACCAAGCATTGCTTGGTTTCTCAGACAAAAACAATGACCCTCTCAATATTATTATTATCTTTAAAAACCTAATTTTTGGGAAGCAGATTAAAAAACATTGTGCCACCTTTTCATGTTTTCCAGAATGAAATTAGACATAATTATATGATAACAAAGTGCTCTTCTTTAATGGAGTGTAACATCAGCGCCTATTATAAGTTCTGGTCTTCATGTCATGAACTGTTCATTTAAATTGTATATCATATGCTTGTTGAATTGTAACCTGAATGTCCTTTGTTGAGTTTTCTGAATAGTCTATAAAATATCTTTAAAAAGAATAAAATTGTCAAAAAAAGATTTGCTTGGTTAGTGAAAGGGACACTCGCACCATTAAACCAAATACCAACAAAGTGCATTTTATGTTATTCAACATACTACAAGTCCACAGTAAACCATGCAAAACATTCCGTACAACAGAAAATGGTAATGTCAAGAATCCGAAAAGATTGAACTTTGGGGAAAAATTTAGGTCGGACCTGCATTGAGTCTCGCGACATGTTGTTGTGATGTCTGATATTTTTTTAGCCATGTGTGTAGTAAGTCTATCCTTTAAAGAGGCAAGTCCAGATAACCGGACAGGACAGTCTTTCATAGGGACAACTTCGTTCGTTTTATTTCTATTGTCATTTACTAATACTAATTACGATATACCCTTATACAAATCAAATGTTTTTATCTATACACGGCCAGAGGCAGATCACCGTATGTGTGGACAGTAGCCTTTGTTACCGAGTGAAGCTGATGTTTCCTTGGTGACGGTTGACAGATTATTCCGTTGACAGTCTACCAGTGTTTAGATTCCCTTCACCCCGGTGTTCCGTGACTGCACGAATAGATCGATTCTTTACATGTCATCTCCACGATCGAAAATTCAACAACTCAATTACCTTCGGTGTTTGATGGAACATATGACTGCCTAGCATTTGGGACATCGTGTTGTATATATAAATAATATTAACTTCAAACGTAATTTTAATGATACAAACAAAGAACCTCAAATACATCCTGACACTATTTCCTTGCTTCGCGTTTTGCATTTTATGGTGGTAGAAACACAGGAAACATGTAATATCGTCTGTCTAGCGAATAGTGTGTACACAAAAGACATGTTATACACACGCATGCTGGGTGAGTGAGTAAGGTATGTATATATATTTATATATACTCACTCACCCAGCATCCGAGTGGGCGACATGTTTAACAGAATAAAAGATAATAAGATACTATATCTTTAAAAAAAAATAGTCTTAATCTGCACTTTATGTGTGGAGCCATGAGTGGGTATATGTTCATCAGACCAATCAGTCAAGATACCTAGTTTGATTGACGGTGCTAACATGATGATACAGGGTGTTAAGGTTGGATTCTCGTGTTTCAAGGAGTGTGTAGTATTGGCGTGTACAATCACCCAAACTTGGGAAATACATAGAAACATCATTAAGAAACATACCATGTTTAATAACCGTTTTATTACACAAAATCAAATACAGACGGTGAATGTTTGTTTTGAGCCGCCAGCAGGGGAGGACTTTTCATGTTCGATTTCCCCTTGACTGCGGACGTAACGTGTGACGCGTGTCGTGTATTGATGAGACCCGCCATCACCTAGTTATAATGCGACCTGTATCATACCCCATGGAGAAAGATAAGAACACCCTTCTTAGAGATTTGCATGCACAGTCGATTTAACTCCATATATTCTCGACTCAGATTTGAAGATCAACCCAAACATGTCAAAATGGTAATACTTTTCGCATGAATACTGAAAATCCCTGGAAAGCTGATCGAGGGTGGTGGAAACCTGTTACTGACGAGCTGTGACCGTGTTTGAGCTGTGACTGCCACGCAAGCTCTTTACGGCGTGTTTATTGGATCACATATATACCTATCTGCCATGTTGTCATCAATACACAAATAGCTGCCGTGTTCTGGTCAGCTGTGGCCTGTCCAATGTGGCAAAACAAATATCTGTGAGTGATCACTGCAATGTGTCTCCAAGCAATATATGGTCTTGTTTGTGTCAAAAAAATACCTGAATGATTTATTTTCTGACCCTTGTCACAGATACTGTAAAGTCAGAAAACAGTGTCGTGAGATCGGATGGCGATAATGTTGTCATAATGTTGAAAGTAGGTAGATCTATAACCCAGTGTATTCACATGGCGTACATACAGAATGTTCAAATACAAGTGATAATGTGTCACACTAACAAGTATATCATCTCCCAGATACACGCTTGTGGATATAGAGAATATTAAATTCTGCATACTCAGCCTCAGATGTTGGCTCGTTAACTTCCTACCTGAACCTGCCACCACTAGGGTCATATATAAACTTTATAAAATGGCGAAATAATATATAGGCCTTCCGAAAATCCACTTTATACAGTTCTGGTCACAATATCCTGGGCCATATCCTGCATTGCCTTTCTGACCCATGTTTTTATTTGATTTACTGAATGTCAGATTTTCTGAGTAATTAAGTTTCTCGGTCGGTTATCTTCCAATCAGCGAGCGACACATTACAGGGGCCCATTTGTCATATACACGTATACAAAGTTACTAGATCACACAAATAATACTTGGATAAATCACTGATAACCAGGAAACACTTCATACCAAATTCATGTAACATGTTTAAAAAAACCCCATAAACAACTATTTTCTTAAATATGCGAAACTTAGCTAAAATCACTTAAAACTGATGTTCGGAGCTTTTGAATGTAGGGTTGTTACTAAAGCGCTGTCTATAACGAACAATGTAAGGAGTTTACTTTTTCCGCAACAGGTGTCTTGACCCGGAAGAACTCTACGAAGGTCATACATCGTGGACCAATGAGAATCCGACAACGCACAAGCCGGGTCCACGTTAGGTCACTTCCATAGGCACGTTGCAGGGTAAAGGTGTGTGAAATTCATTAGAAACTAGATTCTCATCGAAGACAAGATGAAGATTCTGGTCGCAGCTCTTGCTTTTGTCGCCGTCGCTTGTGCCAGCGACGTCCTCGAATTTACAGATTCCGACTTTGCCTCTAAAGCTGCGCAACATGAATTGATCCTAGTCGAGTTCTTTGCACCATGGTAAGTTTTGATGTCTGATAGCATAGAGGCTCTTAAATAGTTTAACCGTCTTCATTTTGTTCTGTTACGAAACTCTTTATAATTTGACATTCACATACATTACATTTACTATTAGTAGCAGGACGATAAGAAACGCACACTTTGTTGTGCCAGCGTGCATTAAGAATGAAGTTTATTCATAGCATACAGGGGAAGCATGACTACCTCTCTGGAACATGGGCTTGGAAACACATCAAGTTACACAGAAGATACATGATACATATTAAGTTTCTGCTTTTGGTAAACTTATCTGCAAAAAGCAGAAAATATCTGCTGTTACAAATGAATTATTACTTAATCACAGTAATGGCAAACAGAGTTCATCTATATCTTAACATACTGGTAGCTAAATTGAAACTTTGAGACTTAACTTGGGGGGTAAATAATCTGATCAGTTTTAAATATTATTTCTGTTAAAGATATGGACATGAGGGTCCAAGAGTCTTCAGCAGCGAGTAGGTGGTTATAAATGTAGCGTTTACATAGAAGGGTGTTGTCTTCATCATTTTCGTTATCTGAAATTTTGACTGACTAAATACGACGTTCAGAACAGGGTTCCAGTTTATCAGAGATAGTGAATGTTCCCGATGTTCAACATGTCCAGCTGAAATAAACTTGATGTGAAATGTGAATCAATTTGTACATAGTAATAAACGATAATTGTTCTTGAAGAGCTGGTGTGCTTATTAGTTTAACAATGGATTCCTTGGTCAATGGTTGCTGTTACAAGGGACCTCCAGATATTTGTGATGACAGTTTTTGTAAATACATTTGGTCTGGATATTGTCAAAAGCTTCAATAGTATCATTAACATCAAAGTGATATTTTGAAATATCAGATATTGTTTCAGGTGTTGATATTTACCTCTTTGATATTGATAATGGTTCATTTTCAATGTACTGACATACTAAATTAAAACACAGGTCCTCTAGAATTGATTGGTCTCTATAGTGTGACGTTGAAAGTACTGCTATTGCCTCATCAGAAATTGGTAACAACCTTGACCGTTCATTATTTTCACCATACATATTCATACATATTTGCACTTGGGCTGCAACGAATTTACCATTAGGTGAATGAAGTTGGGTAACGAATATTATAACAAGTCATCAGATGGTGTCGTCTATTATTCAGTAAAACATTAATGCAATAACTTATTTCACATCTTTTCACCATTTTGACGGTTAATTTATCACAACATGAGCAAGTGACATTTCTGTCAAATAAAATATGAGCTTATTAACTAGCAAGGGTATAATCCATTTTGCATGTTGCGTTTGCATAAATAACCCCCTAAGTTTAGAAAACGTGTTCCAGTGAAAATAATTCATGAATATTAAATTCTAGTGATCAGAAATATCATTGTATTCAAGAAGAAACAGAGTTCGATTCAAAGAATATGATAGCAAACTGTAATGGCCCTACTTTGCATACAGTGCAACACACAATACATAACCTTCCTACCAGTTGGTGTGTTAACAGGATTAGATGGTGTACTTTGGTACAGATTGGTTGACATGAGTTAGCTGTACTTCACAACCTGTGAAGGTCCGGGTTAGAATATTGGCCTTCAGTAACCCATGCTTGTCATAAGCAGCGACTAATTGGATCGGATGGTCGGATGAAACTAAACTCACTCACTCACTGTCTGTACTTCACATTGATTTCTACTTGCAGGTGTGGCCATTGTAAAAAGCTTGCCCCAGAATATGAAAAGGCTGCAACAACTCTGAAGTCAAATGACCCTCCTGTTGCTTTGGCCAAGGTAATCCGCGGGATTGAATACTCGTAAATGAATTCATTCAAATAAGTCAAACATATCCATGCTGCTCAGTTGAAGCCAGTGATCGAGAAGTATTAGCCTACTGGACAACACTCGTCTCTAATTCTCACCTCCTGCTGTTTACGCAGTTGTACACTGTAAATATTTATGTAAAACAAAATACCTGAGGTATACTTTACTGAATCCATGGAAGTAGGCCTGTGTCTGACACCGTCAAGTCCTACAATGAATTGACTTGGCTGTAGGGGCTGGTTGTTACCAATGTAATTGTTTAGTTGGCCTGTGTATGACACCATCAAGTCCTACAATGAATTGACTTAGCTGTAGAGGCTGGTTGTTACCAATGTAATTGTTTAGTTGGCCTGTGTATGACACCATCAAGTCCTACAATGAATTGACTTGGCTGTAGAGGCTGGTTGTTACCAATGTAATTGTTTAGTTGGCCTGTGTATGACACCATCAAGTCCTACAATGAATTGACTTAGCTGTAGAGGCTGGTTGTTACCAATGTAATTGTTTAGTTGGCCTGTGTATGACACCATCAAGTCCTACAATGAATTGACTTAGCTGTAGAGGCTGGTTGTTACCAATGTAATTGTTTAGTTGTAGTATTTTGAACATGGAGACTTTACTTCTGTTTCCAGGTTGATTGCACTGCCAACACTGAGGCGTGTAGCAAGTATGGAGTGTCTGGCTACCCTACGCTCAAGATCTTCAGGAATGGGGAATTTGCTGAAGAATACAATGGTCCCCGAGAGGCAGGTTGGTCTCAACTGATCTATTTGACCGTTATCTCTTGTTCAGGAACAGATTGTATAGAATGTGTGTGACTGACATGCTGAGCTCATTGTTGAATAACCATGACAATCAGTGGTTTCATTCTTACCTGATGTGCCCCTTGGAGTTGCATTCGCTACGTGGCTTAGATATATCCCATTATCGTGTCTCACTTTGATAAACAAAGGTCTAGTTGAAAGTAACAACACTCCCTTAACAAAGTATTTGTAAATGTTCTTTTAAATGCCCATGAATAATAGACTGAATTCATGGAATGGATACAGTTCGATTCACCGAATTCGCGAGTGATTCGTAACAAGACCAGTGACCCTAGGTGTGTGTTTGTACTGTTGTCAATTAGACAGTATGTGTTTGTACTGGTGACACAGTATGTGTTTGTACTGGTGACACAGTATGTGTTTGTACTGGTGACACAGTATGTGTTTCTGTCTGTGAAACTGTTGTTGATCATGCAGAGAGGACTGATCTTAGTTGACTGTAGAGGTGTGACGATGCAGAAGTCGACTGTAGAGGTGTGACGATGCAGAAGTCGACTGTAGAGGTGTGGACGATGTGGCAAGAAGTGACTGTAGAGGTGTGATGCAGATGCAGAAGTTGACTGTAGAGGTGTGACGATGCAGAAGTCGACTGTAGAGGTGTGACGATGCAGAAGTTGACTGTAGAGGTGTGACGATGCAGAAGTTGACTGTAGAGGTGTGACGATGCAGAAGTTGACTGTAGAGGTGTGACGATGCAGAAGCTGACTGTAGAGGTGTGGCGATGCAGAAGCTGACTGTAGAGGTGTGGCGATGCAGAAGTCGACTGTAGAGGTGTGACGATGCAGAAGTCGACTGTAGAGGTGTGACGATGCAGAAGTCGACTGTAGAGGTGTGACGATGCAGAAGTCGACTGTAGAGGTGTGACGATGCAGAAGTCGACTGTAGAGGTGTGACGATGCAGAAGTCGACTGTAGAGGTGTGACGATGCAGAAGTCGACTGTAGAGGTGTGACGATGCAGAAGTCGACTGTAGAGGTGTGACGATGCAGAAATTGACAGATACGATACGTATCACGATATCTTGGAACGATTCAATGCATATCACGATATGCTATCTTTAGTTATTTTCTTTCAAAACGTATATTTTGATAGCAAGCAACAGTGTAAATTTCGACATAACCGTCAATTTCTAGTGAAAATTCACTACTTTAAGATCAACGATACATATCACGATATGAAAAAAGTATTGATATATTTATTGTCAGATAAAGTATCACGATTATCGATACTATTTTATTATATATCGTCACAGCTCTTGTTGACCATAAAACGTCCCCATCCCCACATCTGATATATGGTATATTCCTCAGGTGGTATCGTCAAGTTGATGAAATCCAAGGCTGGTCCTTCCTCTAAAAATTGTGAAACAGAAGAGGATTTGAAGAAGTTCCTCAGCGTGGATGAATATGGCGTTGTGGGTAAGGCAGCTTGATCACTGTTGTAACAGGCAGTTTTCATAACATAGTTTATCTTGCATTAAATGATATAGAAAGTTATGTCCTAAAGGATCTTCCAGCTGCTGATAACTTGCATCCATGTACCATTTGTCATTTGTATATTGCTCATGTTCTTTCTGTAGAGTCAGTGTACAGTACACATACCATGAATGTTCTTTCTGTAGAGTCAGTGTACAGTACACATACCATGAATGTTCTTTCTGTAGAGTCAGTGTACAGTACACATACCATGAATGTTCTTTCTATAGAGTTAGTGTACAGTACACATACCATGAATGTTCTTTCTATAGAGTTAGTGTACAGTACACATACCATGAATGTTCTTTCTATAGAGTCAGTGTACAGGTACACATACCATGAATGTTCTTTCTATAGAGTCAGTGTACAGTACACATACCATGAATGTTCTTTCTATAGAGTCAGTGTACAGTAGCACATACCATGAATGTTCTTTCTATAGAGTTAGTGTACAGTACACATACCATGAATGTTCTTTCTATAGAGTCAGTGTACGTGCAGGAGTACACATACCATGAATGTTCTTTCTATAGAGTCAGTGTACAGTACATACCATGAATGTTCTTTCTATAGAGTTAGTGTACAGTACACATACCATGAATGTTCTTTCTATAGAGTTAGTGTACAGTACACATACCATGAATGTTCTTTCTATAGAGTTAGTGTACAGTACACATACCATGAATGTTCTTTCTATAGAGTTAGTGTACAGTACACATACCATGAATGTTCTTTCTGTAGAGTTAGTGTACAGTACACATACCATGAATGGTTTTTCCTAAAGCAAACACGATCACATCTGGCAACTGTCATTGTAAATAGCGTATTACCAAATCTGTACAGAATGAAGCTGGTTAACTGTGTTGTCCCTGTATAGTCAGTGTGGTATTTTATTACAAATCACTGGTATATCATGGTAGAAGGTGTGCACAACTGAATGCTATTGTCAGCTTAGTTTATGGTCCAATTACATAATAATCATAGGTAGGAATACAATGAGTCAACTTCTAAGACGTCATGTCGGGTTTGTTTCAGATAGAAAGTCACCATTTTGTTTTGGCCCAGTACATGACACTGTTTATGTTGAAAGGGCTGCACTGGTGTAATGACACATGAAGAAAACAATGTCATTCAGATTCCTGTATCCCCACACTGTCATTCAGATTCCTGTACTCCCCACACTGATTCCTGTATCCCCACACTGTCATTCAGATTCCTGTATCCCCACACTGTCATTCAGATTCCTGTATCCCCACACTGTCATTCAGATTCCTGTATCCCCACACTGTCATTCAGATTCCTGTATCCCCATTCACCTGTATGTGTATCCATCAGATTCCTGTATTCAGATTCCTGTACCCCCACACTGTCATTCACTGTCATTCAGATTCCTGTATCCCCACACTGTCATTCAGATTCCTGTATCCCCACACTGTCATTCAGATTCCTGTATCCCCACACTGTCATTCAGATTCCTGTATCCCCACACATTCAGATTCTGTCATTCAGATTCCTGTATCCCCACACTGTCATTCAGATTCCTGTATCCCCACACTGTCATTCAGATTCCTGTATCCCCACACTGTCATACAGATTCCTGTATCCCCACACTGTCATTCAGATTCCTGTATCCCCACACTGTCATTCAGATTCCTGTATCCCCACACTGTCATTCAGATTCCTGTATCCCCACACTGTCATTCAGATTCCTGTATCCCCACACTGTCATTCAGATTCCTGTATCCCCACACTGTCATTCAGATTCCTGTACCCCCACACTGTCATTCAGATTCCTGTATCCCCACACTGTCATTCAGATTCCTGTATCCCCACACTGTCATTCAGATTCCTGTATCCCCACACTGTACATTCATTCAGATTCCTGTATCCCCACACTGTCATTCACATTCAGATTCCTGATTCCTGTACCCCCACACTGTCATTCAGATTCCTGTATCCCCACACTGTATCCCTGTACCCCCACACTGTCATTCAGATTCCTGTACCCCCACACTGTCATTCAGATTCCTGTATCCCCACACTGTCATTCAGATTCCTGTATCCCCACACTGTCATTCAGATTCCTGTACCCCCACACTGTCATTCAGATTCCTGTATCCCCACACTGTCATTGATTCACGAGCATAGGGATAATTGCATTGCTGTTGTATTCTGGTATTCTGGTCCAGGGACAAACAAAACGTTACTGGAGGGGGTCAGGCCCAGTCAATACAGGTGCCCCATCCCCCACCAGTCAGCTGGCAGGGTGCCTGTGCAGTGTTCGAATATAGTCAAAGCTTAGCTCACATCATGAGTGTAGGGTTCTGTCAATTTTGAACATCCAAACAAGTTTTTGGACTGATGCCAATGATGAGATTAGATGAGCCATTTCCTTACTCATCTGATGTTCTGTGATCATGAATGATAGGACTGAGGCACTTCCTGTTATTGATGAATTGTCCAAAGAATCACTTGTTTTAGGTGGCAGTATATTTGATAAATCAGTCATGGCTTGTTACTTGATTATTACCAATCAAATCTGCTGTCATAATTCTTTACCACGTTCCATATTGTTCACATCTAGGTTTCTTTGGGTCTGAGGATGATGAGTTAGCCCAGATCTTCAAGAAGACAGCTGATGCAATGTCCAGCGAACTGCGATTTGCTCACACCTACAGCAAAGACGTTGCAAGGAAATACAAACGCTCTGAGTAAGCTCCCTGTTTATAGTAATGGGATAAGTTATGAAAAAGATCTTAGTGGGAAGCTTTGTGCTGCTTATTCAATACGGTGGATGAGAGAATTGATGGGAGAAGTACCAGCATGTCCAAGAAGCATTCTGCTTCTGACTAGTTTCTGTTCACTTTTCAGCATGTTCAGATGTTAGCTGTTTTGCAGTTATGTAAATTGACTATTGTTTTGTTATTTACTTGTTTGTGAAATAATTACAACACATGTAGCTGTGCTCATAGCCTTTATGTTAACCAATGTTTTCTTTTTCAGTGAAATTGTTATCTTCAGACCCAAAAAATTCCAGAGCAAATTTGAAGACAATGAGGTCGCCTTTGATGGGGACGTCAAGGAAAGCAAAGTGAAGAAGTGGGTTGAGGATACAAGGTAAGAGTGTTCACTGAAACACAGCTGCTGACATGGCCCAAACTGAAATATACATTCTTGTAAAATGTCCAGATATCATTGTTAGTGTTGATGTTATTTGCAGATATGTCATATATCTACAAATGATCAGTTCCTCTTTCTTTGAATTAAAGACTTGTTGTACATGTTATTTACTACTTGAAGACGGACTATATTCCTACTTGCGTAAAATGAATTGAGAACTAGTTAAGAATGATAGCGAATGATAGCTTAAAGCCAGTGAGGATTACCATCATTAGATTTCTGCTTGATTCCAGCCCAGTGGCGGAGATATAAAACTGTGATCTGGTTTCAGCTTGGGCCTGTGTGCACAGAGGGGACAAGATAATGCCAGCAAGTTCAAGACTCCCTTGTTTGTGGCGTACTATGATGTGGACTATAAAAAGAACATGAAGGGAACAAACTACTGGAGGAACAGGTGAGTGCTGGAGAATCCTGTGTATTAGATTGACCGGGAAGAGCTGTAAGCTGTGCATGCATATGTCTGTTGGAATGTTTCCCCCAAATATAACACGTGTGAAGATCTTCAGTATCCCATACTTGTTGTAAGAAGGGACTAACGGGATCGGGTGGTCAGGCTCGCTGACTTGGTTGACACATGTCATCGTATCCCAGTTGTGTAGATAGATGCTCATGCTGTTGATCACTGGATTGTCTGGTCCAGATTCTATTATCTAAGACTGCTGCCATATAGCTGGAATATTGCTGAGTGCGGCATAAAACTAAACTCACTCCCACACCAAATATGGGATGATACAACGTCTGGCGTCAGTGTTGTCTCATCGCTCTGTGTTTTCTCTCATTATGTTATCATGTAACATTTGTGTGGACATGTGTTCTCTGTCCAAAAGAGTCATGAAGGTTGGGAAGAAGCTCCAGGGAGAGGGCAAGGCTGTCTACTTTGCTATAAGCAACAAGGAGGAAATGAAGTTTGAGCTGAACGAGAATGGTATTGACGATATCTCCGGTGACAAGCCATACGTCTGTGCCAGAGATACAAAAGATAAAAAATACAGGATGGAGGGAGACTTCAGGTGTGTAGTGCAGCGTGGTTCAGGCAGCAACTTGTTTAGGGTTATGCCACAATGTTTCAGTGCTACTTCTTGACACTGGGGCATCTTGAGGTTGTCAGTTTCTAACTTCCAGTCTCACAACATGTTTGAACTTTGATTATTAAAAGACAAATGTGTGTTTTTTATCTTGTATCAGTTGTCCACATGTGCAGTGAAGGACTTGCTTGATGACCTGTCAAACATGTTTATTATTCAATAAATATGCCAAATCTGGACTATAGTTGCTGTTGGTGGTGGTAAAAGCCTTCATTTCTTTTATTCTTGTCAGTATTGGACCATGTCCTCTTCTTTCCACATGAGTGTTGTTTATGGTGATAATTTCGTGTATCCAAATCTGCACTACATTGTGACAAGCGTCATGGTCCATGTTTCAGCATGGACACATTTGAACAGTTTGTGAGGGATGTCCTGGATGGGAAGGTGGAGCCATACCTCAAGTCAGAACCTGTCCCGGAACCTAATGATGAACCAGTCAAGGTACACACTGTTGTCTGGCAGACTCTGGAACCATAACACACTGAACCCGGTGTTTAACTTGTTCCAGGAAGAGTCCATCTCTCATTTGATTCATGAGTGGATCAGTCCAAGTAGATGTTCAGTTTGGTATTCCCCCCCATTGCAGTTTGACAACTGGGTAATTGTTTTGGATTTCTGAACAAATATTGTGTTCACTTTCTGACACATAACTTCTGATTTGGAGGATCAGTGTTGTTTAGCATCTACAGTTAATCAGCCTTCCTGCCTCAAGCTGCACCTCACGATTGTAGTTTACATGCACAATACATGCACAATGGGAGGGCCCATGGCAGATAAGCAAGACAGAGTCCCTTGAAGACCTTGCCCCGTCAGTGCCTTTCTCATCTCATGTCTCATGATGCTCTGATTTTTTTTCTAGGTTGTTGTGGCCAAGAACTTTGATGAAATAGTCAATAACGAAGAAAAAGATGTTCTCATTGAATTTTATGCTCCTTGGTGCGGCCATTGTAAGAGTTTGGCCCCCAAATATGATGAATTAGCAGAAACGGTAAGTGGAACCTGGTGCTTGTACTTGTGATTGGTAGTGACTGCTCCTTCAGTGCATGTTGTGTGTGCTTATTGACCAGCTAACATGATGATACAAGATGGGACGTAATTCAGAAATGCTTTGCTGAAAATCTTTCTGATTGTGCTGTGTGAGCATGTAGTGTTTTATTAGACAGAATGTTTTGCCAACGATACTGACAATTTGTCTTTGTAGTTCAATGTGAAGGTTGAAAAGAACACCCCATAAGGGAGTCAGTGTATGACGCTGGAATAAATGTGCAAGCACAAGGTCGTGTGTGTTTCACTTGATTCTGTATTTTAATTATCTGTATTGTACCAACTTATGACATGGCAGAAATCATCTTTAGACATGCATGCAAATAATTTGCAGCCCTAATTGAATGCGGTTTGAATATTTAGCCCCTGATTCTAGTTTAAGGCATATAGGATGCAGGTTTCACCCCAGTCTGTCCCTGGATCTCTCATGGGAAGAGTTTTCTAGAAGTCTCCTCAAACTCAAAGCTGAATTTGGAATATTTTAAGTGAACATTCTTTCATTGTGTTTTGGCAAGAAAACTGTTTCCTTCAACATATGAGTCTCTGGAAGTCTTATATACTTCACACAACTTGGGTATTGAGACTGTAGGCTCTTTATTGGTCTTGAAATTCCTGGATTGTCAAGTTGGTTGTTTCAGTCTCCTTTACTCGTTTGATTCTTTTGACCTCGTGTCTAGCATGGTGCGCCGCCATATAGCGGGAATATTGCTGAGTGTGGCGTAAAACTAAACTCACTCACTCTAGCATGGTGTTTCAACAAGCATGTTCACTGACCAGCTAACATGATGATACAAGATGGGACGTAATTCAGAAATGCTTTGCTGATAATCTTTCTGATTGTGCTGTGTCAGTATGTAACGTTTTATTAGGCAGAATGTTTTGCCAACGATACTGACAATTTGCAGTTTGATTATTTAGCACCTGATTCTAGTTTAGGGCATATAGTCTGTCAGACATATAGTCTGTCCCAGGATCTCGAATGGAAACAGTTTCCCAGAAGTATTCTCAAAGCTGAATTTGGAATGTTTTATCTGAACATTCTTTCCTTGTGTTTTGGCAAGAAAACTGTTTCCTTCAACATAGTCTCTGGAACAACTTGGGTCTGGAGACTGCAGGTTATTTATTGGTCTTGAAATTACTGAAATCACTTCCATGTCCTGAAGTAAAGGCTTCGCCAGATACCACAGTAATGACATAATGGGATAGTATCGTACCCTTTGTTTCAGTCTCATTTACTCGTTTGATCCTTTGATCTAGTCTCGAGCATGGTGTTTCAACAAGCATGTTCACTGACCAGCTAACATGATGATACAAGATGGGACGTAATTCAGAAATGCTTTGCTGATAATCTTTCTGATTGTGCTGTGTCAGCCAACACATTATAATGTAACAAACCCAGTCAATATCTTTGATCTGTTCGACGCCATCTGTTAGTGCAGTGGTTAAATTTCAGTATGATTACTGACCAGCTGAAATGGGTCACAATTTAAAATTACATTGTTTTCCTTTTGACACTATTGTGTCTCTTCCTTTTCCAGAGATTGGAACGTGTAGTGTTATTTATGTTCCCCCAAAACAGATTTTGAAAAATAATTTATAAAGTGTTTTATAATTTTGATAATATTGCTTGGATTAAAACACAAAAACATTCACCCAACTATTCCATTCAGCAAAGATGGAGAGAGTGTACATGTACAGTGGAAAGGTGAATTTGGGTGTGGTGTTTTTTCATTTTTTGGGGTAACATAACACAGAATGTTTTTACTGTATCTCAGGTTAAGGTTGACAATCAGTTTGAGTCGGGATAAGTATGGAATATTACATGTTGACAATCTGCCTGATGTTGTGTATTGGTTTGTCTGGTTTCAATGAAGGACAGCAGAGGTTAGGTCAGGATTTATTTCTCTTTCACTTCTGTTATGGCATGTGTTATGAACTTAATGGGGTCAATTAAACAGCACTTGTATGTCAGGATAATGTTTCATTACCTGGTTCAACAATACAAGTACCATTCCTTCACCCAGGTTGTGCTGTATGTATAGTAACATCCTTACTTTATGACCTGACATGGATGCCTTTGTTTCAGCTCAAGGATGAAACCGAGATCACGATAGCCAAGATGGATGCTACAGCAAATGATGTAGCCAAACCATATGAAGTCTCTGGGTATGTTACCCTTCATCTCCAGCTTCTGACCGTATTGCCCCAAATTAGATGTAGTGACTGTAGAAATAGCTTGTCATGAGATAGATGAATAAGGTGCATTGATTGACATTGTGACGGCCATTGCTCATGTCTGGGGAGCCCAGCTGGGGACATGAAGACCTCGTGAAGTAACAAGTGATGGTTATGTTGCGATGTAGGTAGCAGAAGGGGCCTAGGGTGTTAATGTCTAAAACAGTTAACCATAGCTACAACAGAAATGACATCTACCAAAACCCTATAGACTGATGCTAGGCGTGAAATACTACAGAATACTGTATGTGTTTGTATTGGTTTCAGATTCCCAACACTATACTTTGCACCCAGGAAGTCAAAGGGTGCTCCCAAAAAATATAATGTGAGTATGCCATTGGTGTGACATCAGCTTGAAGAGTGACGGTAGTGGTGGCAGCTGCACACAGATGATGGTGTTTCAAGACGGGGCAGACAATCACTGTTGATACTCGAAGTGCTGATGTGTGATCTTTTTGCCACCTTTGCAGTTGCTTTTCTGATACCTTATTCTACCCGCGTAGATCCGTGCTAGAATTGGTCTTCAGTAACCCATGCTCGTCGTTAGAGGTGACTTACGGGATCAGGTGGTCAGGCTCGCTGACTTGGTTGACACTTGTCATTGTATCCCAATTGGGTAGGTGGATGCTCATGCTGTTGATCACTGGATTGTCTGGTCCAGACTCTAATATTTACAGACCGTCGCCATATACTGTAAACGTATTTTTATTTTCGTGTGGTGCAATTTTCCCGGAATTGACAGTTTAGACTACATCGCGCGGTCAATTATTCGCGCAATCAGTAATTGCCGGAACTGCCAGCTGTCTCTTTGGCCGCCACTAATAGTGATAGCTGTGAAAACAGAGTGGCTTAACCTGTCATGCGGCGTTTATTACTTACTAACAGGAAATCCCTATCTGTGCGATATACTAGTACACAGTAGTCCGTTTACTCACGGAAGAGATGAAAAACACATCAGTCTTATGTTCCGAATTCTGACGATCTGACGAATTAACTTCTACTGTATATGAAGCTCTTTGTGATTTCAAACAAGCCGGGATGTTGTGAATGAGATGATTGAGTGTTAAGTGACTATTCGCTTCATGATGTACTGGTAAATAAAATTTTAAAGTGAATAAATAAAATACTGCTGTATTATTTCTTTCCGAGTCGTTTCATGGTAATCTGTTTTGTATCAAACCATCTGTCATGTGACCAATTTCCATCGCGGCCACAACACACTTTGCTGTTTTCGCTAATTCGGCGATGGGATTTGGCTCATTATTTAATTATGTTTTGGGAAATCCATTATAGCGACAGTTAAGTATGATTCTTTATGCTACTATCAGTCGTCATTTTAAGATTCCCGTAGATTTCTGTCTTCAAACTTGATGTGTTATGGTAACAACTCAGGGGCGAGCGTGGCTAGACTGAATGAATGACAGGTTTATTCGCGGTGTATAAATTTTCGCTCTAAAATGTTTTGCGCGAAAATAAAACCTGCGCGAAATATAATACGTTTACAGTAGCTGGAATATTACTGAACGCGGCATTAAACTCACTTGATCACTCATTCATACCTTCTTGGTGTTCATACGTCTGTAATTCCACTGTGGGTGTCATCGCCTTCATGATGGTGCGTACACCATCAACCATTGGTTTAGGCCAGCTTTGACCCAGGGGTTCTTTCTGTTTGAAGTCACAGGTTTGGCTGGTTATGGCCCATTCTGGCAGATGACAGCCTGTATTGACTACAGGACTATGTTTATTCTTGTGTCGTCTTCTACCTACGTCAGCTCTTTTCAATTATCCAGTGTTATGACTCATGTCATTTGTAAATAGCCTGGTCTGTTTCCCTCCCAAGCGTTGAGTCCTCACTCCAAGATATCCTGTATGCAGCTGCCAAAAAGATGAAGGCGTGGCTTCTGTTCCCACACCATGCTTTGTTGTGACTGATAGGACTGGGTCCAGAGCAGTTGTCCTGTTAAAGTAGAGATACATTACCTGGAAACTTCAGTTCAGTCTGTCTCAAGTGGGATATCCTGTCACCCACATGATGGTGTTTCAAGACGGGGCAGATAAATACTGTTGATATCCGAAGTGCTGATGGGAGTCTGATATATCCACTTGATGATAACATGATCTAGCTTCCGAAGAATTACCTTGCACATTAGCATGAATTCCAAGACAACATCATGGAACATTGCCCCAGAGCTGCGAGGACTGTAAGTCAATGCAGTGGTTTCGAATACCAGGCCTTACATTACAACTGTTTGTGTGTTGGCACAGAAGCTCATTGTCACTGATGTAACTTACATACAACTTGGTGTTTCAGGGAGGCCGTGAGGTTGACGACTTCCTCAAGTATCTGGCAAAAGAATCTACTAACCCACTCAAGGGATACGACAGAAACGGAAAGAAAGTCAAGAAATCTAAGAAGACCGAGCTTTAGAGGAGATTATTGTACAGATGTAAGAATATTCCGCAGTAGCTAGCCTCATCATCTCCCCTCCCCAACTGTCGGCAGGAGTGATAGTTTCATTGGCAGCAACCAGTGGAATTACTGCTCTTGTCTCTCTGGAATCATAAGCTCAAAACTTGTACATTTCATGCTGTCATTCTTTTAGTTTGTGATGTATATTTTGAAGATCATTTGTTTAGGGAGTGCTTGGGGTTTGTCATGAAAATCATGATTGTGAGCTTGTTTGTGTCTAAATCAGATGCTTCCAGTCTTCCCTACCAGACAACAGAACATACTACTTTGATAAGTATCATTAAGTACCATCTCTACCCTCCATCTCTACCCTCCATCTCGACCTACAAAGTGTTTTTACTCAGTTGAATTCTTTACTTGAATTATTTATTCTGTTTGTAATATGGTTAATTTTATAGACTGATCTGCAGTATGTCTGTATACAGGTGTACACAAGTTCATTTTATGCTGACATGTTTATTTATGTGCCATCGGAATACAGTACTCTGAAGTCAGTACGACGTCGTCACGTCTTGTGCATTACATGGCTAATGCGTATGTTTGGCTCTTTGTTAACAGAATTTTCATACATGAAAGATGTATAAATGATAGTTATATCGAAATAAATATTACATTTAATAGTGTTTGTTTTGTTTGTTCATGTGGCGATGGTAATGGTACAGATTTGCTTGTTACGCCAAAAACCTGGGTTCAGTTACCCCCATAGGTACAATGTGTGAAACCCATTGTTGGTGTCCCCTGCCATGATATTACTAGAATAGTCTTTCACATTGTACATGCTTCTTCGTTGAAACCATCACACCCCTGGCCATAAATTATGAATGGTCCCTGACGTCACGTCCAAGATGCTCATTTCCAGCAGAGTGTAAACTTTTATTTTCTGACATGTAACTTACTGATCTTAAGATTGCACAATCTTAAAAATAAACCTTTCAAACGTTTGTTGAAGGCATTGCAACTGACTGCTCAGAGTTGCGTCCCTTTAATGTGGCGACTAGATTCACCCAGATTACTTCTGTTATGAGCCGGTCGATCACGTGTGATGTCATGTGAACAAAACATATTCGATTGGCGTGGCGAGAATTCCCCGTTGGTAATTATTGTTATACCGGTAATTAAGCCCTGCGCTTAAAGGCCGGGCGGCAATCTTAAACAAATCTCAAGGGTTTCCAACTAGGTTTCCATTTGCTACTCCTCAGCAGTGTAGATCACAGGGGCGTCACGCTTAGAAACAGCGTTAGAAAGACATATAGGTATATAGACCCTACCCTAGTACTATATATCCTTTTATATAGTGCTAGGGTAGGGTCTATATACCTATGTCTTTCTAACGCTGTTTCTAAGCGTGACACGCCCCTGTGGTGTAGATGTTATCTGCCCTTGAGTGGCTGGTATGTAAAGAGCCTTGCGTTCTCAAAGGTTAACCATGGAATTTACCACTAAAATAAACGTCGTAGAGTAATATCCAGCAACCCTTTCACTTTGATATTTAAAGTTTAGTTATTTTCTGAAAACCATTTTCTCTGCATGTTGATATCACCATCAAATAAATGTTCAATCCTAACATTGCACAGGGGAGTAGGGAACAAAGTGAAATATGAAACCATGAATGAAACATTTGCTTCACAAGCAGACTTGTTGCTATGGAAATGCCCCTCCTCTGGCCACCTGACTGATACAAATCTATGTCAAAAAGAGATATTTTTTTCAAAATGTATGTTTTGTAGACAGTCTGCATCAATACATTTTGCAGTGAGTCTTCATACCACACGTCTTTATACTATGGGTTATTATCATCATGAACCGGCAGGTCAGTTTTGTGATATTTTATGGAATGTACTTGTCTACAGCCTTGCCAAGTGTACAGGGTAAAGATGTCCTGGAACGGAAATTGAGTGACCCCACATGAAAGTACTGCACACGAGAAATGGTTCATCACAGAGCTCAAGACTGTCTATGACCGCCTCCGTGGTGTAGTGGTTAGAGCGTCCGCCCGGAGAGCGGAAGGTCGCGGGTTCCATCCCCGACCGCGTCATACCAAAAGACGTTAAAATATGGTACTTGTTGGTCCCTGCCTGGCGCGCGGCATTAATGGGTACAACAAGGACTGGTCGGCTCGGAGTCAGTATAATGTGTCTGAGTGGGGTATTCATGCTTCACTGCGGCATGGTATCTCGGTGGGCTAGCCCTATAAAACCAGCTTAAGTCTGGGCTAGTACAAGCAGCCACACAAACGCATACACATGCATGCACGTCGTCATATGAGGGAAATATTCTCAAGCACGACATGAACCCCAATTTTCACCTCACTTCACCCAAGACTGTCTATTTATGTTCAAGGATGTCATTCTCAGATTGGGCGAAAGTCTACAAGCATCTGTCGAGAAAATGATACATGTGCCCAACACTCACATTGTTGACGGAGTTGTTGCATCAACCTTTACAGGGTGTGCTGCTCGGTCCTGCAACCATCTTTCCAGTGAACGTGTCACGTGGCCATGGGTATATGGACTGCAGTATTCGAATGTTGTATGGTAACTGTGGTAACCAAGGTTACTTGTACCACAGAAATGCGTCTCAGAGGTTGGATCCCATGCTGATGGGTTCGAACCAGTAAATCGCGGAAATTAACAACCTATCAACAGGATCCCATCCTGAATAGTATAAATAAGCCAGTACAATCTGGATGCTGCGTTTCTCCTGAATAGTATAAATAAGCCAACACGTCTGGATGCTGCGTTTCTGGTATAAATAAGCTGCACAGTCTGGATGCTTTTCCTGAATAGTATATAAATAAGCCAACACAGTCTGGATGCTGCGTTTCTCCTGAATAGTATAAATGAGCCAACAAGCAGTCTGGATGCTGCGTTTCTCCTGAATAGTATAAATAAGCCAACATGCAGTCTGGATGCTGCGTTTCTCCTGAATAGTATAAATAAGCCAACACGCAGTCTGGATGCTGCGTTTCTCCTGAATAGTATAAATAAGCCAACATGCTGCGTTTCTCCAGTCTGGATGCTGCGTTTCTCCTGAATAGTATAAATAAGCCAACACGCAGTCTGGATGCTGCGTTTCTCCTGAATAGTATAAATAAGCCAACATGCAGTCTGGATGCTGCGTTTCTCCTGAATAGTATAAATAAGCCAACACGCAGTCTGGATGCTGCGTTTCTCCTGAATAGTATAAATAAGCCAACACGCAGTCTGATGCTGCGTTTCTCCTGAATAGTATAAATAAGCCAACACACAGTCTGGATGCTGCGTTTCTCCTGAATAGTATAAATAAGCCAACACGCAGTCTGGATGCTGCGTTTCTCCTGAATAGTATAAATAAGCCAACACGCAGTCTGGATGCTGCGTTTCTCCTGAATAGTATAAATAAGCCAACACGCAGTCTGGATGCTGCGTTTCTCCTGAATAGTATAAATAAGCCAACACGCAGTCTGGATGCTGCGTTTCTCCTGAATAGTATAAATAAGCCAACACGCAGTCTGGATGCTGCGTTTCTCCTGAATAGTATAAATGAGCCAACACGCAGTCTGGATGCTGCGTTTCTCCTGAATAGTATAAATAAGCCAACACGCAGTCTGGATGCTGCGTTTCTCCTGAATAGTATAAATAAGCCAACACACAGTCTGGATGCTGCGTTTCTCCTGAATAGTATAAATAAGCCAACACACAGTCTGGATGCTGCGTTTCTCCTGAATAGTATAAATAAGCCAACACGCAGTCTGGATGCTGCGTTTCTCCTGAATAGTATAAATGAGCCAACACGCAGTCTGGATGCTGCGTTTCTCCTGAATAGTATAAATAAGCCAACAGTCAGGTTGCTCCTGAATAGTATAAATAAGCCAACACGCAGTCTGGATGCTGCGTTTCTCCTGAATAGTATAAATAAGCCAACACGCAGTCTGGATGCTGCGTTTCTCCTGAATAGTATAAATAAGCCAACACACAGTCTGGATGCTGCGTTTCTCCTGAATAGTATAAATAAGCCAACATGCAGTTTCTCCTGAATAGTATAAATAAGCCAACACGCAGTCTGGATGCTGCGTTTCTCCTGAATAGTATAAATGAGCCAACATGCAGTCTGGATGCTGCGTTTCTCCTGAATAGTATAAATAAGCCAACACACAGTCTGGATGCTGCATTTCTCCTGAATAGTATAAATAAGCCAACACACAGTCTGGATGCTGCGTTTCTCCTGAATAGTATAAATAAGCCAACACACAGTCTAGATGCTGCGTTTCTCCTGAATAGTATAAATAAGCCAACACACAGTCTGGATGCTGCGTTTCTCCTGAATAGTATAAATGAGCCAACATGAAGTCTTGATGCTGCGTTTCTCCTGAATAGTATAAATGAGCCAACACACAGTCTTGATGCTGCGTTTCTCCTGAATAGTATAAATAAGCCAACACGCAGTCTGGATGCTGCGTTTCTCCTGAATAGTATAAATAAGCCAACACACAGTCTGGATGCTGCATTTCTCCTGAATAGTATAAATAAGCCAACGTGCAGTTTCTCCTGAATAGTATAAATAAGCCAACACACAGTCTGGATGCTGCGTTTCTCCTGAATAGTATAAATGAGCCAACATGCAGTCTGGATGCTGCGTTTTTCCTGAATAGTTTAAATAAGCCAACGTGCAGTCTGGATGCTGCGTTCTTCCTGAATAGTATAAATAAGCGAACACACAGTCTGGATGCTGCATTTCTCCTGAATAGTATAAATAAGCCAACATGCAGTCTGGATGCTGTGTTTCTCCTGAATAGTATAAATAAGCCAACGTGCAGCCTGGATGCTGCGTTTTTCCTGAATAGTTTAAATAAGCCAACACGCAGTCTGGATGCTGCGTTTCTCCTGAATAGTATAAATAAGCCAACACGCAGTCTGGATGCTGCGTTTCTCCTGAATAGTATAAATAAGCCAACACGCAGTCTGGATGCTGCGTTTCTCCTGAATAGTATAAATAAGCCAACACGCAGTCTGGATGCTGCGTTTCTCCTGAATAGTATAAATAAGCCAACAACGCAGTCTGGATGCTGCGTTTCTCCTGAATAGTATAAATAAGCCAACACGCAGTCTGGATGCCGTTTCTCCTGAATAGTATAAATGAGTCTGGATGCTGCGTTTCTCCTGAATAGTATAAATGAGCCAACACACAGTCTGGATGCTGCGTTTCTCCTGAATAGTATAAATAAGCCAACACACAGTCTGGATGCTGCGTTTCTCCTGAATAGTATAAATGAATAGTAACACCAACATGCAGTCTGCTGCGTTTCTCCTGAATAGTATAAATAAGCCAACACGCAGTCTGGATGCTGCGTTTCTCCTGAATAGTATAAATAAGCCAACACACAGTCTAGATGCTGCGTTTCTCCTGAATAGTATAAATAAGCCAACACAGTCTGGATGCTGCGTTTCTCCTGAATAGTATAAATAAGCCAACACGCAGTCTGGATGCTGCGTTTCTCCTGAATAGTATAAATAAGCCAACACACAGTCTGGATGCTGCGTTTCTCCTGAATAGTATAAATAAGCCAACACACAGTCTGGATGCTGCGTTTCTCCTGAATAGTATAAATAAGCCAACATGCAGTCTGGATGCTGCGTTTCTC